GGCTCAGGGAGGGGGCTCGGGGGGCTCCGCGGCACCTCTGGATGGTCTCCTCCTGCTCCTTGACCATGTGTGCCAGCTGCTGGAAGATGGAGCCCAGCTCCACGATGGTGGACTCGATGTTCTGCATGGTGTCGGCCCGGCTCTGGATGTACGAGTCCTGGGGGCAGGCCCAGGCTGCTGGGGCTGCCCCAAAACCCCAAAAAAAATCCCAAAAATCCCCAAAATCCCAAAATCCCTGGGTGTTCGGGGGGGTTTTTTGGGGTGCAAACCTGCTCATCCAGCAGCTGCAGCTGCTGGCTGGTCCTGCTGTCCATGTCGATGGCCACGGCGCCCGGGCGCTGCGGCTCGGCCTGGAGCACGGCGGGGCTGCCTGGGGGGCCCCCCAAATCCTGAGCCCCCAAAATCCTGAGCCCCCCAAAATCCTGAGCCCCAAAATCCCATGGCTGGGCTCTTCCTAAATCCCCCAAAATCCTGAACTCACAGCTGGGCTCCCCCAAAATCCTGGGCCCCCAAAATCCTGAGCCCCCAAAATCCTGAACTGCCCCAAAGTTCCCAATTCCCACCTGAATGCTACCAAAATTCCAAACTCACACCGTGAATTCTACCAAAATCCCCCCAAAACTCCAAATTCCCACCTGAATTCCTCCAAAATTCCCCAAAAATCCCCCCAAAATCCCCTTTCCCACCCAAAATCCCGTCTTCCCATCCAGAATTCCCCCAAATTCCCTTTTCCCATCTGAATTCAACCAAAATTCCAAATTCCCACCTGGAATTTCCCAAAATTCCCCCAAAATTCCCCCAAAATTCCTTTTTTCTCACCTGGAATTGCCCCAAAATCCCCATTTCCCACCCAAAATCCCCTTTTCCCACCCACAATTCCCCCCAAATTCCCTTTTCCCACCTGAATTCAACCAACATTCCCTTTTCCCACCTGGAATTTCCCAAAATCCCCTTTTCCCACCCAGAATCCCCACAAAATCCCATTTTCCCACCCAAAATCCCCATTTCCCACCCAAAATTCCCCAAAATCCCCCCCCCAAATCCCCATTTCCCAGCTGGAATTTCCCAGAATCCCCCCCAAAATCCCCTTTTCCCGCCCGGAATTCCCGGAATTCCCGGAATTCCCAGCTCACTGAGGTTGTTGGCAGCCAGGGCAGAGATGGGGGCCCGGGAGAAATGTTCCCGACGGCTGCGCTGCTGCTTCAGGTTCCCCGGAAAAATGGGAAAAATTGGGAAAAATTGGGAAAAATGGGGAGAAAAGGGAGGGGAAAATAGGGGGGGAAAATAGAGAGAAAATTGGGGGGAGAAAGAGGAAAGAAAAGGGGGGAAATGTGGGGAGAGGAGGAAAAATGGGGAGGAAAATTGAAGAAGAAAGGGGAAAAAAGAAGAAAGGAGAAAAACGGAGAGAAAATTGGGGGGAGAAAGAGGAAAGAAAAGGGGGGAAATGTGGGGAGAGGAGGAAAAATGGGGAGGAAAATTGAAGAAGAAAGGGGAAAAAAGAAGAAAAGAGAAAAAAGGAGAAAAAGGAGAAAAAAGAAGAAAAGGAGGAAAAGGACAAAAAAAGCACAAAAAAAGGAGAGAAAAAGGAGGCAAAAGAGGCAAAAGGAGACAAAAAAAGGAGAAAAAAGAAGAAGGAGGAAAAGGAGAAAAAAAGGACAAAAAAAGGAGGAAAAAGAAGAAGAAAAGGAGGAAAAGGACAAAAAAAGCACAAAAAAAGGAGAGAAAAAGGAGGCAAATGAGGCAAAAGGAGACAAAAAAAGGAGGAAAAAGAAGAAGAAAAGGAGGAAAAGGACAAAAAAAGGACAAAAAAAGGAGAGAAATGAGGAAAAAACGAGAAAAAAGAAGAAGAAAAGGAGAAAAACGACAAAAAAAGGAGAGAAATGAGGAAAAAGGAGAAAAAAGAAGAAAAGGAGGAAAAGGACAAAAAAAGCACAAAAAAAGGAGTGAAAAAGGAGAGAAATGAGGAAAAAAGGAGAAAAAAGAAGAAGAAAAGGAGGAAAAGGACAAAACAAGGCCAAAAAAATGAGGAAAAAGGAGACAAAAAAAGGAGGAAAAACAAGAAAAAAAGGAGGAAAAGGACAAAAAAAGCTCAAAAAAGGCCAAAAAAAGGAGGAAAATGAGGAAAAAGGAGACAAAAAAAGGACGAAAAACAAGAAAAAAAGGAGGAAAAGGACAAAAAAAGCTCAAAAAAGGCCAAAAAAAGGAGGAAAATGAGGAAAAAAGAAGAAAAAAGAAGAAAAGGAGGAAAAGCACAAAAAAAGGACAAAAAAAGGAGAGAAATGAGGAAAAAAGGAGAAAAAAGAAGAAGAAAAGGAGGAAAAGGAGAAAAAAAGGCCAAAAAAAGGAGAGAAATGAGGAAAAAAGGAGAAAAAAGAAGAAGAAAAGGAGGAAAAGGACAAAAAAAGCACAAAAAAAGGAGAGAAAAAGGAGGCAAAAAGAAGAAAAAAGAAGAAAAGGAGGAAAAGCACAAAAAAAGGACAAAAAAAGGAGAGAAATGAGGAAAACGGAGACAAAAAAAGGAGGAAAAAGAAGAAGAAAAGGAAGAAAAGCCCAAAAAAAGGCCAAAAAAAGGAGGAAAATGAGGAAAAAGAAGAAGAAAAGGAGGAAAAGCCCAAAAAAAGCACAAAAAAAGGAGAAAAAGGAGGCAAAGGAGGCAAAAGGAGACAAAAAAAGGAGGAAAAAGGCCAAAAAAAGGCCAAAAAAAGGAGAAAAAGGAGAGGCAAAAGCAGCAGCGGCGGGCGGCGCGCGCTCACCTCCGTCCGCACCTCCAGCACGGATTTGAACTCGTTGGACATCGAGGCCAGCTTGGACTGCGGGGAGGGGGGGGCGCGGTCAGCCCCTGAGGAAAAAGAAGAAGAAAAGCAGGAAAAGGACAAAAAAAGGCCAAAAAAAGGAGGAAAATGAGGAAAAAGAAGAAGAAAAGCAGGAAAAGGACAAAAAAAGGCCAAAAAAAGGAGGAAAATGAGGAAAAAGAAGAAGAAAAGCAGGAAAAGGACAAAAAAAGGCCAAAAAAAGGAGGAAAATGAGGAAAAAGAAGAAGAAAAGCAGGAAAAGGACAAAAAAAGGCCAAAAAAAGGAGGAAAATGAGGAAAAAGAAGAAGAAAAGCAGGAAAAGGACAAAAAAAGGCCAAAAAAAGGAGGAAAATGAGGAAAAAGAAGAAGAAAAGCAGGAAAAGGACAAAAAAAGGCCAAAAAAAGGAGGAAAATGAGGAAAAAGAAGAAGAAAAGCAGGAAAAGGACAAAAAAAGGCCAAAAAAAGGAGGAAAATGAGGAAAAAGAAGAAGAAAAGCAGGAAAAGGACAAAAAAAGGCCAAAAAAAGGAGGAAAATGAGGAAAAAGAAGAAGAAAAGCAGGAAAAGGACAAAAAAAGGCCAAAAAAAGGAGGAAAATGAGGAAAAAGAAGAAGAAAAGCAGGAAAAGGACAAAAAAAGGCCAAAAAAAGGAGGAAAATGAGGAAAAAGAAGAAGAAAAGCAGGAAAAGGACAAAAAAAGGCCAAAAAAAGGAGGAAAATGAGGAAAAAGAAGAAGAAAAGCAGGAAAAGGACAAAAAAAGGCCAAAAAAAGGAGGAAAATGAGGAAAAAGAAGAAGAAAAGCAGGAAAAGGACAAAAAAAGGCCAAAAAAAGGAGGAAAATGAGGAAAAAGAAGAAGAAAAGCAGGAAAAGGACAAAAAAAGGCCAAAAAAAGGAGGAAAATGAGGAAAAAGAAGAAGAAAAGCAGGAAAAGGACAAAAAAAGGCCAAAAAAAGGAGGAAAATGAGGAAAAAGAAGAAGAAAAGCAGGAAAAGGACAAAAAAAGGCCAAAAAAAGGAGGAAAATGAGGAAAAAGAAGAAGAAAAGCAGGAAAAGGACAAAAAAAGGCCAAAAAAAGGAGGAAAATGAGGAAAAAGAAGAAGAAAAGCAGGAAAAGGACAAAAAAAGGCCAAAAAAAGGAGGAAAATGAGGAAAAAGAAGAAGAAAAGCAGGAAAAGGACAAAAAAAGGCCAAAAAAAGGAGGAAAATGAGGAAAAAGAAGAAGAAAAGCAGGAAAAGGACAAAAAAAGGCCAAAAAAAGGAGGAAAATGAGGAAAAAGAAGAAGAAAAGCAGGAAAAGGACAAAAAAAGGCCAAAAAAAGGAGGAAAATGAGGAAAAAGAAGAAGAAAAGCAGGAAAAGGACAAAAAAAGGCCAAAAAAAGGAGGAAAATGAGGAAAAAGAAGAAGAAAAGCAGGAAAAGGACAAAAAAAGGCCAAAAAAAGGAGGAAAATGAGGAAAAAGAAGAAGAAAAGCAGGAAAAGGACAAAAAAAGGCCAAAAAAAGGAGGAAAATGAGGAAAAAGAAGAAGAAAAGCAGGAAAAGGACAAAAAAAGGCCAAAAAAAGGAGGAAAATGAGGAAAAAGAAGAAGAAAAGCAGGAAAAGGACAAAAAAAGGCCAAAAAAAGGAGGAAAATGAGGAAAAAGAAGAAGAAAAGCAGGAAAAGGACAAAAAAAGGCCAAAAAAAGGAGGAAAATGAGGAAAAAGAAGAAGAAAAGCAGGAAAAGGACAAAAAAAGGCCAAAAAAAGGAGGAAAATGAGGAAAAAGAAGAAGAAAAGCAGGAAAAGGACAAAAAAAGGCCAAAAAAAGGAGGAAAATGAGGAAAAAGAAGAAGAAAAGCAGGAAAAGGACAAAAAAAGGCCAAAAAAAGGAGGAAAATGAGGAAAAAGAAGAAGAAAAGCAGGAAAAGGACAAAAAAAGGCCAAAAAAAGGAGGAAAATGAGGAAAAAGAAGAAGAAAAGCAGGAAAAGGACAAAAAAAGGCCAAAAAAAGGAGGAAAATGAGGAAAAAGAAGAAGAAAAGCAGGAAAAGGACAAAAAAAGGCCAAAAAAAGGAGGAAAATGAGGAAAAAGAAGAAGAAAAGCAGGAAAAGGACAAAAAAAGGCCAAAAAAAGGAGGAAAATGAGGAAAAAGAAGAAGAAAAGCAGGAAAAGGACAAAAAAAGGCCAAAAAAAGGAGGAAAATGAGGAAAAAGAAGAAGAAAAGCAGGAAAAGGACAAAAAAAGGCCAAAAAAAGGAGGAAAATGAGGAAAAAGAAGAAGAAAAGCAGGAAAAGGACAAAAAAAGGCCAAAAAAAGGAGGAAAATGAGGAAAAAGAAGAAGAAAAGCAGGAAAAGGACAAAAAAAGGCCAAAAAAAGGAGGAAAATGAGGAAAAAGAAGAAGAAAAGCAGGAAAAGGACAAAAAAAGGCCAAAAAAAGGAGGAAAATGAGGAAAAAGAAGAAGAAAAGCAGGAAAAGGACAAAAAAAGGCCAAAAAAAGGAGGAAAATGAGGAAAAAGAAGAAGAAAAGCAGGAAAAGGACAAAAAAAGGCCAAAAAAAGGAGGAAAATGAGGAAAAAGAAGAAGAAAAGCAGGAAAAGGACAAAAAAAGGCCAAAAAAAGGAGGAAAATGAGGAAAAAGAAGAAGAAAAGCAGGAAAAGGACAAAAAAAGGCCAAAAAAAGGAGGAAAATGAGGAAAAAGAAGAAGAAAAGCAGGAAAAGGACAAAAAAAGGCCAAAAAAAGGAGGAAAATGAGGAAAAAGAAGAAGAAAAGCAGGAAAAGGACAAAAAAAGGCCAAAAAAAGGAGGAAAATGAGGAAAAAGAAGAAGAAAAGCAGGAAAAGGACAAAAAAAGGCCAAAAAAAGGAGGAAAATGAGGAAAAAGAAGAAGAAAAGCAGGAAAAGGACAAAAAAAGGCCAAAAAAAGGAGGAAAATGAGGAAAAAGAAGAAGAAAAGCAGGAAAAGGACAAAAAAAGGCCAAAAAAAGGAGGAAAATGAGGAAAAAGAAGAAGAAAAGGAGGAAAAGGAGGAAAAAAGGGCAAAAAAAGGAGAGAAATGAGGAAAAAAGGAGAAAAAAGAAGAAGAAAAGGAGGAAAAGCACAAAAAAGGCCAAAAAAAGGAGGAAAATGAGGAAAAAGAAGAAGAAAAGCAGGAAAAGGACAAAAAAAGGCCAAAAAAAGGAGGAAAATGAGGAAAAAGAAGAAGAAAAGGAGGAAAAGGACAAAAAAAGGCCAAAAAAAGGAGGAAAATGAGGAAAAAGAAGAAGAAAAGGAGGAAAAGGACAAAAAAAGGCCAAAAAAAGGAGGAAAATGAGGAAAAAGAAGAAGAAAAGGAGGAAAAGGACAAAAAAAGGCCAAAAAAAGGAGGAAAATGAGGAAAAAGAAGAAGAAAAGGAGGAAAAAGAAGAAGAAAAGGAGGAAAAAGAAGAAGAAAAGGAGGAAAAGGCCAAAAAAAGCACAAAAAAAGGAGAAAAAAGAGGAAAAAGGAGACAAAAAAGCAGCGGCGGCGGGCGGCGCGCGCTCACCTCCGTCCGCACCTCCAGCACGGATTTGAACTCGTTGGACATCGAGGCCAGCTTGGACTGCGGGGAGGGGGGGGCGCGGTCAGCCCCGGGCGGCGGGCGGGGGTCCCGGAGCCCCCTCCCCAAAAGGCGGCCCCACCTGCAGGGACAGCAGCACGCCCCCCGAGTGGCTCTGCAGGTGCCGCCCCGCCGGCGCCGCCCGCGCCCGCAGCCGCTGCAGCTGCGCGATCTGCCGGTTCAGGCTGCCCATGTCCTGGGGAGGGCGGGGGGCACCGGGGGGCACCGGCAGCCCCCAGCCCCGGGCTCTCCGGGGGTCCCCGCCCCCCCCCCGCCCCTCACCGCGGGCTCGGCCGGGCCCGACGCCGCCACCGGGAGCCTCCGGACGCGCTGACGTCACTGCCACGTCTATTCCGCCGGAAGTGCGGTCGGAACCGGAAGAGAAAGGCCGGGACTTCCGGGAGAGAACGGGGATAGGCCACGCCCAGAACAACAGGCCACGCCCACGTTAACGAGTCCGGCCGCCGGGAATGGCGGGAACGGAGCGGCCACGCCCCCCGGAAGTGGTCTGGGAAGGAGGCCCCGCCCCCAAACCGTAGCGGGAATCGAAGCTCCGAGCCCGGTACCGGGAACACCGGAACGACGGGGCCACGCCCCTGGCATCAGATCCCGCCCACGCCACTGGCCACGCCCCCGGCAGCAAAGTCCGCCTACAGCGTTGGTCCCGCCCAGGGCAATAAACCCCGCCCACAGCGCCGGCCCCGCCCCGACAGCAACCCCCACCCACATGGATGGCCACGCCCCTGAGAAC